AGTGTTTATTGATCTAATCTAGGCTTAAGCTGAAGCTACATAAATGTTATGTGATGGAAAGCTGAATATAGTGAGATGAATCTCCTTATACTGGAGCAGTCAGAATCTGCAGCAGCTTTACTTTACAATCAGTGTTTATCTAATCTATAATCGCTTGAGTTCCCACCTCACCGACAGCAACCTCCTTGACCCCCTACAGTCTGGCTTCCGTCCCCTACACTCTACCCGATCTGCCCTACTCAAACTCACCAATGACCTACTAACCACCAAAGCTAATGACCACTATTCAGTGCTCCTACTCCTTGACCTGTCCGTAGCATTCGACACCGTTGACCACCCCCTCCTCCTCAATAAACTACACTCTTTTATGGCTCTCAGAGACTCCGCTCTCTTCTGGCTCTCCTCCTATCTATCACAACGCTCCTTCAGTGTTACCAATAACGCTGCCACCTCCCCCTCACTCCCCCTCTCTGTCGGGGTCCCTCAAGGTTCTGTCGTCGGGCCCCTTCTCTTCTCCATCTACACCTCCTCCCTTGGCCAACTGATACACTCTCACGGCTTCAACTACCATCTCTATGCCGATAACACGCAAATCTATCTCTCTACCCCTCGCCTCATCCCTTCAGTCTCCACCCGAATCACTAGCCTACTGAATGACATATCGGATTGGATGTCACTCCACTTCCTCAAATTAAACCTTTCTAAAACCAAGCTCCTAGTTTTCCCCCCATTCCGCGCTTCCCCCCTGACTTCTCCATCACAACCAACAATGCCACCATCAGTCCCACCCCGCATGCGAGAGTATTAGGTGTCATCCTAGACTCCAACCTGTCTTTCCAGCCCCAGGTCCAATCACTGACAAACTCATGTAGACTCCACCTCCACAACATCTCCAAAATACGTCCGTTCCTAACCCGGAAACTACTAACAACTCATTCACTCCCTTATCATATCACGACTTGACTACTGTAACTCCTTCCTCACCGGCTTACCTCATCACAGACTACTCTCTAGTTCCTTGGTCTCCTCCTCCCATGTCCGTCTCCAGGACTTCTCCAGGGCTTCCCCATCCTCTGGAACTCCCTACCCCAATCCATCAGACTATCACTTACTCTCCTCTCCTTTAGGTGCTCCCTGAAAACCCATCTCTTCAGGGAAGCCTACCCCGCCTTCAACTAATTGCCGATCTCCTCCACTCTTCCTACCACTCCATCCCCCACAGCTATTTCCTCCTGTACCACTATCCCCTCCCTCCTAGATTGTAAACTCCAAGGAGCAGGGCCCTCACAAGGCACTCACTGAGCAAACCACCTCTCAAGTGATTTAAATTGCTGAGCCATTTGAACTTTTAACTGTGGACTTTTTGACGTTAGCTGAGACCACATCTGAGTACCGTTATGCCCTACTGTTTGTGGAAAACGTTTCCAAGTTCCCTATAGTGGTTCCCACTCGTGATTAAACAGATGTTACCATGGCCAAATTGTCCTGACCCATGTTGTGCAAACATATGAATGTACAAAATGAATCCTGTCTGATCAAGGTACTAATTTTTAAGTCTTTCAGAACTAGTCTACTTAGTGGATTTCACAAGTCACATACCACCCCACATCAACCTCAGGGAAATGGGGCCTGTATGCTTTTCAAATATTAGATGCTTTGGATACTGGAATAGGAGCCTTAGGATCATTGGCCACAGTACATGGAGAGAAGTGGTTTGGTTTGGGCTCACAACCATACAGTGCACAAAGCTACCGGTTACCCAATGAAAAATGAATAAGCGCTGTCTTTAGCATGAAATGCATTTACCTGCCAGTCCCCCACTATATTTCCACTGTCTGTATTGGTTTTATCATGGTTCAATAAAGTGGATTGTTTGGAGTACAGTCGATTGGACATCCTTTGTTCCTAGTGTATGATTTCATAGCCAAGAGTCAAGGAAATGCTAGGAGACAGTTACACTGAAACCTGCTAAGGCCTTGTGTTTTGGGGGAGGGGCCTTGTGTTTCTGTGACTGCTGCAGATATGGGAGGTAGGGGTACCTCCAATTCTAGAGGACATTGTGAAGTGGTAACTACCTCCAATTGAAATTCAACCTTTGAACTCAGAATGTGCAAATGATCCAGCTGTACAGCCTGTGGATATTTCTGAAGGTGAGGCTGTCTTGTCTGCCAATGGCAAACCTTTGATGTCTGAGGAATCTGATCCAACTCTTGAAGATGTTCCTCTAGTGGAAACTATAAACAATGGTGAAGAATGTCACCCTAGCTAGAGCTACCAGAGGACAATTACTTGTTAAAATGGATACTACAACGTCTGGTGACCTTTGGCAGCCATCTTGGTGTGGAACTTTATATACTGCAGCCTCTACATCTTCAGGTATGCCTGATCATAGTTCAGAGAAAGAGATCCAGATTGATAGGGAGAGAAAATAGCAGGGAGAGGTTCCTGACAAGTAGAATTAGTGCAGGGACAACGCCTGTTTTAGAACACATTCCAGTAACCAAACCAGTGAAGCGAGGCTCTTCCCAGCAGTGCAGAGTTCCATTTCAGAATACCACTAACCAACTTCTTTCCAGCAGAGGTCATCCTTCAGTAATACCGGCCTAATCCTGGTACTATTGTTCAATTACTAAGCACCTTATGTACTGCAGTCAGTGCTATTAATCTGCTTTTGAAGCATCATTTTTTATCACTGGTACCTGATGTAGACTTGGTAGCTCCACACTGATTGTGCTGTAGCAAGTAGTTACTGTTTCTATCCCTGCCACTGAAGATCAACATTGTCTATACTAGGTAAATACAAATTTATCAGACCAGAGCTTGAATACTCATGTGTCTCTTAATCTGTTCAACATACATTCCAATTAAAAAGTCCACCATTCTTTTAAAATTCCATTAGACTCCAAATGGCAGGATAGTAACCCTCAGAGAAAAAAAACTGTATGGTGCAGTATGTAGATACTCTAAAAGTGTGCTCAATATCCAGTAAATGGTGCTCACATTTAAGGGCTCATGTACACTGCAGCTGACAAAATCACGTTTAGGAGAAGTTCAGCATTTTTTTCAGTAGCCCCTTAACTCCCCTTAATGTTTTCCTATGTGTCTGTGTACACATCGTCGTTTACAGGCATTTTAGTTTCCAGTTGTTTTTTTTTTAACTCAGAAAACTTGCGTACAGCAGTCGATTCTATCACTGTTTCAAATGCAAAATGTGTCAAATCGTGTTTATAAGCGTTCACATCTGAATTTTTTTTTTTAACTCTTCCAGTTCCCGATGCTCTCCAGAGCCTTTTTTCATCATGAAAAATGCATGCAAAGTGTTTTCAAGGTACTCTGATGGACAAAACACTGAAAACAGGATGTTCCTACCAAGCTTGTTACACATTGTAATGACCAATTCACACCTCAGACCTCTCCCACCCTTGGAAACCAATTATATGTTAATGACCACTCACACCTAAAATTCCTCATGAAGAACCCCTGTCAGGTGACCTTAATGACTCCCTCCACCAGACACCTTTCCCACCCTTGGAAACAAAAGAAATGTTAGTGAGCAACTCCCACCTAAGCTAAACTGAACACATACTGCTGTCTCTGCTTCTACTCTCTGTATCTCTCTGAAACAGTTTGAAATAGTTAATTATTTACCACTTTTCAGTGCATTCTGGGCATTTGGGATGTTCTCCTGTGCTTATCTTTAAAAAACGCAAAAGCTTCTAAACACTCATAAACGTGTTATGCAAACGCAGCTAAACAGATGGTTTTTAACCTACGTTTTCCAGCAGTCAGTTTCCATCGTTCAGAAGTGTCCCGTGTACATGGGGCCTTAGTCATATATCACTTGTATATACTGTTACTGTCCTCTACCAAAAATTGAGCCTTCTGAAAAAAACTGATTTCTTCAACCTTCACACATCAGATCCGCTTTCTAGAATACTCCTCCTCCCTCCAACACAGCACTTCAAGAATGTCCTTTTTAAAATGCTCAACCATGATATTTTCTGATGAGGGGGATCCTTCGGCTGCATACTGCACCTCGGCGAGTTGTTTTCTTCTATAAGAATGAATGGTTTCTCTTAGTGCTTACATATCAATCTTCTAGCACCACCTGCTTTTGATGAACCCAAAAAAATCCCACACAAATAAAAAAAGTAAAACTCTCATTTATAAGTAAGTAAATACCAAATGGGTAGTACTGGTCTAATTTTGCCCACCTTTCCCTGGGGGTTGTAGCTCAAACATGCTGCAGGTTTTATTTTCTATTTTTTTAGACAGTAACCTGTGGCTTCTATTTCTCTGCTTTAAGGACTGTTGGTGCTGCCTGTAAACTGTGATGCCAATTTTTATCCCCCATACCTTTAAGGGTTTTGGCAGTATTTTGGGGAAGACACATGTCTGTGCCCTGTGTCTCTGCATCTAGGCATGTTGTCGCTGTTGCCAAACTGTGGTGCCACATTGTACCAACCCAAACCTAAAGTATTCAGTTCTAATTCCTTAGAAGAGGAGGCAATTAATGGATGGACAGTCAGCAACAAGTGATTGTTGTACTCTAAAATCCTCAAGCTAGATATTAAAAAAAGGAAAAGACCCCATTACATAAAAATAGTAGCTAAGAGGTTCAAGGCTTAACAATCTCTTAACAAGCTCTAGAAATCAATCCAAATCTACTGCTGCTTTGGGATCCAACTTGCAAGCATACAGAGCTCAGCTTTAACCTTTTTTGGATGCCTATAGCAAATAATGATTGTTGAAAAATCAAGTCATAGGTTCTAAAACTAGACACAACCAATTTAGATAAAACTTGTTAACTATTTCAAGTTGTAGAAACAAGGAATATAAATATATAGATATGGAAAATGAATATATAGTTTCAGTGTAAATTAATTGTTTTAACATTTCTTAAGCTTTTTTCAAGGCTTTTTCTGATCTCGTGGTTCCTCAGACTGTAGATAATGGGATTCACCAGGGGAGTTGCCACAATGTAGAAAATAGACATAAATTTGTTTGTAGTAATTGATCTTTTATCAGACGGTGTCAAGTAAATGGCCATCAAGCTCCCATAATATGTGCACACAGTGGCCAGGTGTGAGCTACATGTGGAAAACGCTTTCCGTCTTCCATTGGATGAAGAAAGGTGTAATACAGTGAAAGAAATGAAGGCATAGGACACAATAATAAAGGCAAAAGGAAGAAAAATACCTATAATGGACAGAAAAAGATCGACTAATACAAGCAGAGAAGTGTCTGAAGTAGACAGCTCTAGCACTGGACCAGACTCACAGAAGAAATGGTCAATGTTATTCCCACCACAAAAATGTAACTGATACACCAAAACTAATTCACTGGATGCAAATGCAACTATCAACCAAGACCAGACAACCATCTGAAGACAGATATGGAGCTTCATAATTGAATGATAACGCAATGGGTTACATATGGCCAAATATCGATCACAGGACATAATTGCAATAAGTAAACATTGTACAATTCCAAAAATAGCAAAGCAATGCATCTGGATGATGCAGGCAGTAACAGATATTGTGATTCCATCTTTTAGTATGATTTCTAACATCATTGGGATTATGGTGGTGGTTATCATGAGATCAGCTATTGCCAAGTGTTTGAGGAAGTAGTACATTGGGATTTTAAGATGGTTATTAACTGATATTAAAACAATAATGATGAAGTTTCCAATTAATATCATCACTATATAAGATAAGAAAAACACAATGAAGAACATAATTTTAAATCTATGAAGGTTTTGAAATCCAAGAAGCAAAAAATGAGCTACTTCAGTTTGGTTGTCTTCACACATGTCTTCAAGAAAAAGTCAACACAAGAACATAAAAATGGTCATCCTCCTGCAAGAAAGTTCAACTTTATAATGAAGTATCTTTAACAACACAAGAGTTTAGACTCATGAAAGCCATTCATTTAAATATATAAAGTCATACAGCCTTTTTGTGTGGCTCTGTGGGACCTCCATTGGTAGTTTTAAATGTCTCTAACATTAATGATTTTTCCTGTACCAAAGTAGAAAGGAGTGTTCTTGCAGACAGTGTTGGGACAAAGTCATCCAGTGCCCAGAGCAAAGATGGGAAACTGTGATCCCACCTTGGAGAAGGGTAGGAGGCTAATAGTGGCATGTGCTGAAATATATGTCATGTTTGTGGCATGCAATGTACTATTACAATGTTTGTGTTACTCTGAAGTGAACTGAAGAGTTTAAAATCATGAAAAAATAGGGCTAACCAGTGGCAAAGGAAATAATGTGCCTGCATCAGAGGAATCACAGGAAGGAAAATGTCCCTGCATTGATGGTGTCATTTAAAGTTAATAAAAGTCCCTGCATTGGAGTTGTCACTGGAAGGAAAAAATGTCAATGAAAAAATGTCAGTGACAGACCCAACCTGGACAGGGGATTTTGGAAGGGATTATGAGCTAGCTTTCTACTCCATGATTATGGCCCATGGAGGAGACCAGGAATGTTATCTGTTTCTCCAGTAAGAGCATGGAGGAGAGCCGTGTTCTGAAACCCTTTGACTGGCTGAGAATATGTACCAAGATTATGCAGCCGGGAAGTCCTAAGGACAGTGGTGCATCAGCAGGAACATTGTGTTGGACAAATCGTGCAGAAGCACCTTCACCAGCCAGGGATATGGAACTGTTCTTGGGCATATTTACTATCTTGCCAACAGTTGGTCCTTGAGAACTGCATAATTCAGCATTTGCCCGTTTTGCTCCTGCTACTACCAACTTTATATCATTAATTTTTTATAATTTTTCTGTTGAAGATAGGCCACTTGGTAACCTAGATCTGAGCTGGATCTGGGGAGGGACATGTGGTGTAATGTACTTCATGTATCCAGGGCTGTGAAACTGTTTCTGGGCATCCTGGTGGGCACTCCCAGGCTCATAAAGATGTTTTCCAGCACATAGACAAGGGAGGCAGGAAGAGGAATTCCTGTGACTACTAGCCATACTGATAATACTTGTCTAGGTGCCTAGCTGTTAATTATATGAATGTTTAAATGTTGCATTGTCATATTTGTCATGGTTGTGTGCCTTATCTCATCTATGTTAATGTCCCCAAGAGGGGAATGTCCTCCTGGGGGCATATAGTTTGTGTCTGAATTTTAATAAAGAGTTATTCCTTTGGTTTTCCATCAATATATTGTCTGTGTATGAAGCTTGGGGTAAAGGGGCAGTATTAGCCATTGGTCTGGTGGAAGGGTTTGGAAAGCAGGAAGCACTGTTTGGTGGAGAAGCCAAGTTGGGGTGACAGATGGTTCATCATAGTGCCACTAAAAGGAAAAAATGTCTTTTCGTTTGTGGTGTCAGTCTGAGAAGGGCTTAATAGTGCATATTCTAGAAAGCTCAGTGCACATAAGTGTTTATCTGTCAGGAACCAAGAATTAGGCGGAGACAGAAAGTGCAGTTAAAATCACACCTTTAATGAAATAGCAAATATACCATAGATCAGGAATGTAGTCAAAACAGAAGCCAGAGTTTGGATGCCAGAGCGGGTAATAAGACGAGATGCCAGAGTGAGGAAAACAGAAGCCAAAAATCAGGAACAGGATTCGGAGAAGTGAGTCAGACCGAGTTGTACACAGGAACACAGGCAGGAACATACCAGAGATCATAGACCACGCAAGGGCAAGGAGAAAGTGAGCTATGCTGCTAAAATAGCAAAAAAGGGTTGGCTGTGGGCTGGACTAATGAGGCAGGTATTGGTGTCCAGGTGAGTCACTGTGGAGACAATGATTGGCTTGTAATTAACCAACAGCTGAGCAGTTTCTGAGCACTGAAAGAAAAGAGTTGCTTGTTAAGTAGCAGGAGCCCAGTCCTGACACTTTCACACAGGGCACAGGGAAAAGCAGTACTTACATTCCACGGTGCAGGGCTCCAGAGTGTGTATCATGCACAATCCCAGCATTGGACCAGGAAGCTAGTGAACATCACTGTAGTAGCAGTGCCTGCTGCAATGATTTTCAGCTTCCACAGGGATCCCACAGGTATGGCACATACATACTTACATTTGTCCAAGCTGGACCAATGTAACTATGTAAAAATTGCCTAACCTAAATGTCAGTTTTATGTTTCCATAGTGTCTGCTAAATCAACATGATTGTGAGATAACCCCAGACTTGTGCCTTGTTTTGAACATTCTGCCTCCTGGAATGTGTGCTGTGGAGTCTGCAGGGGTAATCTGCCAATCAACCTTACCTGGGTGAGGATTGAAGTAAAGGTAAGAATATGTTGTGCGCATACAGATGTGTTAAGGGATGTCTTGAATGTGAAAATATACTGTACTTCAGATACTCCACATCACATTCAACAATTGTATTCATACCTGGTTTGGAAGTTTGAATATTATTGGTGATATTGTGAGGAAAGTAGACAGTACAGGAACCACACTCCATCATCCTTTTATGGTATACCATAAAAAGAAAAAGAAAAAAAAGATTAACATTTAGCCAACTTTCTGATCCCACTGGTTCCACCTTATTTTTTTTTTTATTATATCTTTATTAATTTTTATGATACAAATCCACTTTAAAACAACCATCATGCAATACAAAACTCCATATTTGATTTCACACTCCCAACCCCATATTTACCCCCCTTCCTCCTTCCCCATCCACCCCCACCTCTTTTTTTCTTGGTCCTTCCTTTTACCTCTTGATTTTTTTTTATTATATTTTGTCTTACTGTTTCTCCTCCTTATTTTTTTTTTCTATTTTCCTATCATTCCCAAACTCTTATTTCTTTTTTTTTTGCTCCTTCCTTTTACCTCTTGATTTTCTTTTATTATTCTGTCTTACTGTTTCTCTTTATTTTTTTTCTATTTTCCTATCATTCCCAAACTCTTATTTATTTTCTTTTCCCATTACACTTCAACCACTTCTGAAAATCTTTTTGATTTTTTTAATCTGTACCATCCTTCCCAGGTTTTCTTAAATTTTTCTATTGTATCCTCATCTGTATGGTATAATTCTTCCATTTCTGTAGGTTTTTAGCTGACACTCTGGGATTCTTCTTTACCTCATGCAGCATTCTGCGCTGTGCTCTTGCAGTCATTTTTACAGGACGACCATGTCTAGGGAGAGTAGCAACAGTGCTAAACTTTCTCCATTTGTAGGCAGTCTGTCTTACCGTGGACACATGAACATCAAGGCTTTTGGAGATACTTTTGTAACCCTTTCCAGCTTCATGCAAGTCAACAATTCTTGATGGTAGGTCTTCTGAGAGCTCTTTTCTGCGAGGCATGGTTCACATCAGACAGTGCTTCTTGAAACCAGTAAATCCAAAACAGGTGTGTGTTTTTTAAGGGCAGGACAGCTGTCAGCAACACATCCAATATCATCACACTGATTGGAGTCAAGGTTGGCTCACTCCTGGCTCCAATTAGCTCTGGGAGAAGTCATTAAGCTCGGGCCTCACATACTTTTTCCTCCCTGCACTGTGAATGTTTACATGTTATGTGCAATTAAACCATGGCAACATCTAATGTTTGTGTAGTATTATGTTCAGCAGACTGTTTTCTTCTATTGTTGTGACTTAGATGACGTTCAGAGCACATTTTATGCCCAATTCATGCAAAACTCCACGTAATCCCAAGGGGTTCACATACTTTTTCTTGTAACTGTATATATATATTCAACTCTTTTCATCCAATCTTTTATTTTTGGGGGCTCTGTTGTTTGCCAGAATAAGACTTTTGGCCGCAATTAAAAGATGGAACAATATCATGTTTTTATATTGCTTCACCGAAAGTTCTGACTTATAAAATAGGCAAACTCACAGGTCTATTGGTACACTACCCTTCTGAATCTCTTGTATACATTATCTCTCTCCAAAACTCCTACATTTTAGGGCAGTCCCACCAAATATGTGCCATGGTACCCTTACTCCCACATCCCCTCCAACACTGGGATGAGACCTCTGTCCTTAGTTTATGTATCACACTAGGCATCATATGCCATCTTACTTGACATTTATAATTAATTTCAACTATATTTATATTCACCACCCCATGTATTAAACTAAACATTTTGTTTTTTAGTTGCTCATTCAATTTTGTTCCAAGTTCCATTTCCCACTTCTCCAAAAAACATTTGGGATACCGGTCCCTCTATTTCAGTAAGGGTTTTATAAATCCTAGAAGTAAAATGTTTTTGTATTCTATTTATATTAAACAATTGCTCTAAAGGATACTTTTCTTCCTCAGTCCTTAGTGGTTGTGGTAGCTTTGCAACAAAATGTCTTATTTGGCAATACCGCCATTCGTCCAGTGTAAAAAATATTTATTTCATATTTTTCAAGTCGTATAGTGAACATAAAACCCCCTTATCCACAATATCTTTTAAATGTGCATTTCTATCCTTTATCCATTTCCCTGAAATATTATCATTCCCAGGTGGGAAAAACTTAGTTCCCACCAATGGGATTGACAATTAATTAAACTTCCAATCTTCCTGCTTTTGCATTTCATCCCAAATCCTGAATACATTCCATGTCAAAGTGCGTTTACCTTCACCCCAAGTGCGAAATTCCCGTGGTATCCAAATTATCTTATCTAGTGGTGCCTTACTAAGTGATCTCTCCATTTTTACCCAACGTCCCTGTGCGTTATAAATCCAATCTGCAATTCGTGATAATAACACCAAATTATAATATCTTCGTATATGGAAGCATATTAAATTTAGATAAAACTTTTGGTACTATAATCATCTT